ACTGCAAGGTTCCATATCACAAAGGGAAAGCTTGGTTTGAGTTTGGGGGTAATTGCCCTAAACTTTTAGGAATTTGGGGCCAAAAAGGTGCAAAAAACCCAAGCATTTTTCTAGTTTCCAGACAATAATTTGTGTTCAAGTGTATCGATCTCTCTGAAATTGTACTGCAAGGTACCATACCACAAAGGGAAGGCTGGGATTGAGTTTGGGGGTGATGAATCATAAGGGGGTTTCAAAAAATTTGGGGGGGGGGGATTTTTTTTTCCTTTTTTTTCTTTAAAATTTTCCATTTTAAATTGGTTATTTCTGATTTATATATAAAAGCAAATAATAATGATATGGTTTGAATAGGTAAATTAAAAAATTTTAAGTTCTTAGACTACTTTCATTCTGTGTGAGAAACCTATGCTGTGTCAAATATTTAATTACAATCCAAATTAAGTGCTGTATCAAGCTTGAATGTTGTGTCCATACTTGCCCCAACTGTTCAGGGTTCGACCTCTGCGGTCGTATCAAGCTGCGCCCCAGCGGAGCATTTTATTTAATAGTAGTCTTTACATTCATGAAAAATATTATTTCTTTGACAATGAAATATCATATGTTTGCTTTATTCAAAATGCTGTCTATTTACAAGCCTCCAGGGGTCTAATGAGATTATGCACTTAAATTGATCCTTATTAATGCTGTTGGCTACATATATAGACAACAGATGCAGGAAGCAGAGTTGAATTCTTTCAGGATGTTCAGTAAATAATAAATTGTTGACTTGTCACTGACCTGTAACTGCTATGTCTATAAGTCTATTAAAAAGCCACATGTTTTAATTGTAAAATATACATTGTATAGAAGTGAATTAAAATATACTACATTTGTCAGTCGTAGTCAGTCTCTGTGAGGTTACATGAATTTCATTTCCACGTTAGTAAGTGCGTAGTACTTTTAGGAAATTTATTTTTTCAATTAACCTTGTCAGGTGTGTCAAAATTTAGACGATTTTATGCCAAAAAGTGATATATTTTCCAACCGAAAGGAGGGCATATGACCTCTACCCCACCCCATCCCCCACCCCCCAGAATCCACCACTTATTATTTTCAAATATAGGTTACAGCTTTTGACAGCTACTCTAAATTCCATAAATTTATCAATTTTTTTGTAACAGTGGATATGCGACATCAGTTATCCTTTAGCAATGAACTTCATATCAATAAGAGTTTATTATCAGTTGATTATGTTCATTTACAGTACATGCATACAAACTTAGCAACAGGATACACAAGATTTGTCATAATTCTAGTAATTTACTTTTCAAGAGAAACTTAAAACTTATTTTGAAAGGGAGATTATATCTCAAATGTTTAAAAGTGAGCCATTTTTAAAAAAAAATTGATCTCAACTTTTATTAATATAGTTCATTTTTATACACCCGCAAAAAAATTTTTGTGGTCGTATATTGGTATGACGTTGTCGTCGTCGTCGTCGACGTCCGAAGACACATTAGTTTTCGCACTCTAACTTTAGTTTAAGTGAATGGATCTCTATGAAATTTTACCATAAAATTCAATACCACAAAAGGAAGGTGGGGATTGATTTTGGGGGTAATGGTACCAACAGTTAAGGAATTAGGGGCCAAAAAGGGGCCAAAAATAAGCATTTTTGTAACTTCCAGACATAACTTGTGTGTAAGTGTATGGATCTCTCTGACATTGTACCACAAGGTTCCATATCACAAAGGGAATGCTGGGATTGATTTTGGGGGTAATTGCCTCCAAATTTTAGGAATTAGGGGCCAAAAAGGGGCAAAAAACAAGCATTTTTCTAGTTTCATGACAATAACTTGTGTGTAAGTGTATGGATCTCTCTGACATTGTATCACAAGGTTCCATATCACAAAGGGAATGCTGGGATTGAGTTTGGGGGTGATGAATCAATAGGGGGGTTAAAAAAATTGGGGGGGATATTTTTTCCTTTTTTATACGACCGCAAAAAAATTTTTGTGGTCGTATATTGGTATGACGTTGGCGTCGTCGTCGTCGTCGTCGTCGTCCGGCGTCGTCGTCGTCCGGCGTCGTCGTCCGAATACACATTAGTTTTCGCACTCTAACTTTAGTTTAAGTGAATGGATTTTTGGGGTAATTTCCTCCAAATTTTAGGAATTAGGGGCAAAAAAGGGGCAAAAAAAAAGCATTTTTCTAGTTTCATGACAATAACTTGTTTGTAAGTGTATGGATCTTTATGAAATTGTACTACAAGGTTCCATATCACAAAGGGAAGGCTGGGATTGATTTTGGGGGTTTTCCCTCAAAATTTTAGTAATTAGGGGCCATAAAAGGGCAAAAAAAACATGCATTTTTCTAGTTTCAGGACAATAACTTGTGTGTAAGTGTATGGATCTTTATGAAATTGTACTGCAAGGTTCCATATCACAAAGGGAAAGCTGGAATTGAGTTTGGGGTAATTGCCCTAAACGTTTAGGAATTTGGGGCCAAAAAGTGGCCAAAAAACAAGCATTTTTCTAGTTTCCAGACAATAACTTGTGTTCAAGTGTATGAATCTCTCTGAAATTGTACTGCAAGGTACCATACCACAAAGGGAAAGCTGGGATTGAGTTTGGGGGTGATGAATCATAAGGGGGTTCAAAAAATTGGGGGGGGGGATTTTTTTTTCCTTTTTTTTCTTTAACATTTTCCATTTTAAATTGGTTATTTCTGATTTATATATAAAAGCAAATAATAATGATATGGTTTGAATAGGCATACATGTGAACCTCCCGACGGGAGTACAATAATCCCGTTTTCAGGGGTCTCCTCCCGACCTCCCATTGAAGAGGAAAAAATCCCGTGTATGAAATTTTTCATGAATGAAAAATTTCTGCCCAACATATCATCTCAGGCATCTGGTGTAACTGACATTACCTGAAGTTATATTTTACCTGTAAATCAATTAACATGCATAATTATATGGCTTCACTTGTCAGCTTGGGTGTCAAACATACAGGTAATCAACGATTTTTACCTCAGGCTAACTGCCGTTGTGTAACAAAAACTGTGTATTTATTGGGTTACTTCCCTTGATTTATCCTGTTTTAAGTTACTTTCCTTTTAATAATGAAAATTTTTAAAAGAATATAAATAAAATATAAATTGAACAAATAATCATAAAAGGATGGTTATTAAATGATTTTAAATGTCTTAGGACAAATAAAAAAATAATAATTTGAAAATTATTTGAGGATTCTAGACTTCCTTTCAAGGCTTAAATTGAAATTTATATAATAACTATGACCCTAATTTTACAGATAAAATGATATTTTGAGTTTGCAAATAAAAACTATTTGCAAGAGAAAAAATAAAAAATAAAAACTATTTGCAGATAGCTAAACAAATGTTGTGGTTGCAATGATTGTTTTATAGAATATGAAGTAAAAAATTTAAAGAACATACTGGAAAAATACAATGTTAGATTGAACATGTAGAATATAAAGATGGAGAAACTTTATAAGTACAAGGGTACTATAAACATAATAAATTGGATGGAAAGTTGAAGAAAACACACTTTAAAAGACCATTTTTACAGCACACGGTTACATTTACAACAAAATTAATGTCGATTAAAAACCTCCTGATCTGAGTCCTAATCTCCTGACCAAAATTTCCCAATCTCCTGATCTGAGTTTCACAGTCCATCACATGTATGAATAGGTAAATTGAAAATTTTTAAGTTCTTAGACCACTTTCATTCTGTGTCAGAAACCTATGCTGTGTCAAATATTTAATTACAATCCAAATTCAGTGCTGTATCAAGCTTGAATGTTGTGTCCATACTTGCCCCAACTGTTCAGGGTTCGACCTCTGCGGTCGTATCAAGCTGCGCCCCAGCGGAGCATTTTATTTTCTTTAAAATTGTCCATTTCAAATTGGTTATTTCTGATTTATATATAAAAGCAAATAATAATGATATGGTTTGAATAGGTAAATTTTAAGTTTTTAAGTTCTTAGACCACTTTCATTCTGTGTGAGAAACCTATGCTGTGTCAAATATTTAATTACAATCCAAATTCAGTGCTTTATTAAGCTTGAATGTTGTGTCCATACTTGCCCCAACTGTTCAGGGTTCGACCTCTGCGGTCGTATCAAGCTGCGCCCCAGCGGAGCATTTTATTCATTTTTACTACAAATACAAATTTCATCATCATGTGATAATTTTGGCTGTACATCATACCAACTACATGTATCATCTTATATATAGTGTTATTGACAAGAAGATCTAATTTGATTACCAAAAACATGGCTTCAACAGAATAGTCTGACTACTACAGTATCTTACAGGACATGCACGCACAACTGTTGAAATAGGCGCTATATCAAGACTGCTTATGATGTATGTTTATACTTGTAGATAAAGTAAATGCAATTTTTAGAGTAGCTGACTTTTTAGAGTATTGTAGCAGGTAGAATATTGTCACATACATTTGTACTTTTGGCCTACCTTTAAAGCAATGTCAACAGTTGTTTTCTAATCTATCAAAATGTATCTTTAATATTCCTGTTTGTGTCAAACGCATGGAAAACAGCCATTAGCAGTTTGTTTCATTTTGTTTGAAATGATCATTAAAAAACTATTGAGCTTTTAAAAGTTATTAAATGTATGAAAGTAGGGTACTCATCAAAGAGACAGTAACTCAATGATATAAATACTGTAAATTTAGAAATTATTGTGTGCATTTATTATTGCAACTTTTATAGAATGGACTAAAATGCGAGATTGATTATTGCAATCTCATGAAAATATGCATACAGTTGTATACATAAGATATAAGAATGCAAGTTCTTATTATTGTGATACTCATTCAGTTGCATTATTCGCATTATACAAACTGAGTAATCATATACATACCATGTACATAATATTGTGTGTGTGATACAGGTAGCTAACTTATATAATATACATGATTTAAGTTAGAATTCATTGATTATAAGCTGTTTTATTTTTTATTTAACAGGTTACCAATTGGAGACCTGAATCAAAAAGTTTTTAAAGAGATAACATTGGCAGGAAAATCATGTTTCAAGGTTTGTTACTTCTAATTATTTTAATAAAATTTTTTGTAAACTTTACTTGTTATACGAAATAATAAACGTGATTTAAGATATTTGTAAATTCTTTTTGTTTAATAAGTTTCATAAATAAAGTTTGAGGATTATTGTTTTTGCTCAGTTTGTTTCATCATTATTATTCTTCTTCTATCTTCTACTTCAGTCTTCTTCCAGGTTTCTCGTACCTGAACATTAAAAGGGGGTCGGGTCTACTGTAGAAACTTTACCTATTTGAATTTTTATACGACCGCAAAAAATTTTTGAGGTCGTATATTGGTATGACGTTGGCGTCGTCGTCGTCGTCGTCGTCCGGCGTCGTCGTCCGAATACACAATGGTTTTCGCACTCTAACTTTAGTTTAAGTGAATGGATCTCTATGAAATTTTACCATAAGGTTCAATACCACAATAGGAAGGTGGGGATTGATTTTAGGGGTTATGGTACCAACAGTTAAGGAATTAGGGGCCAAAAAGGGGCCGAAAATAAGCATTTTTGTAACTTCCAGACATAACTTGTGTGTTAGCATATGGATCTCTTTGACATTGTACCACAAGATTCCATATCACAAAGGGTCAGTGCTGGGATTGATTTTGGGGTTAATTGCCTCAAAATTTTAGGAATAAGGGGCCAAAAGGGGGCAAAAAACAAGCATTTTTCTAGTTTCATGACAATAACTTGTGTGTAAGTGTATGGATCTTTCTGAAATTTTACTACAAGGTTCCATTTCACAAAGGGAAAGCTGGAATTGAGTGTTGTGGTAATTGCCCAAAACGTTTAGTAATAAGGGGCCTAAAAAGGGGTTTAAAATAAGCATTTTTTAGTTTCTAGACAATAACTTGTGTTCAAGTGTATGGATCTCTCTAAAATTGTATTACAAGGTACCATACCACAAAGGCAAGGCTGTTATTGAGCTTGGTTTGGGGGGAAAGGGGGGTGGGGGTGATGAATCATAAGGGGGGCGGGGGTCAAAAAAGGGGTAATTTTTTTGTTTCCTTTTTTTTTTGTTTAAAATTTACATTTTAAGTTAGTTATTTTTTATCACGAAGAGAAAGTAGGAATTGAGTTTTGGGGTTAATTGCTCAAACATTTATGAATAAGGGGCCAAATATTGGTCAAAAATAAGGATTTTTTTAGTTTGCAACAAAAACTTGTGTTCAAGTGTATGGATCTCTGTGAAATTGTATTGCAATGTACCATACCACAAATTGAAGGTTGTGATTGAGGTGGGGGATGATGAATCAAAAGGGGGTTGAAAAAATGTGTGGGAGGTAGGATTTTTTTTTTCCTTTTTTTTTCTTTAAAATTTTCCATTTAAAGATAGTTGTTTCGGATTTATATATGAAAGAAAATAATAATGAAACAGTTATATATCATGAGGAATTGAAATTTAAAATTATTTATATTGGAAATTTAAGTTACATTGGAAAGTAATAATTGGCTTGGGGGGGGGGGGGGGGGGGGGGGGTTATGGCTCTAATGTTTAAGGAATAAGGGGAAAAAAGGTTAAATTACAAGGGTTTCCATTTTAATAGACAAATAATTGAGTAAAGAACATTATTTAAAAGCAGTGTAAGGTTGGTAATTCAAACTCATTTAAATATCTCATCTACACTGCTTTTAAATTATGTAAATTGGAAATTTGCCAATAACTTTATTGTTAATAAATGCATTGGAAATTTGCCAACAATTTTAGTGTAATAAACTTCATTGGAAATTTGCCAATATAAAATTTTGCTGATGAAGGTTTTTTTTTTACCTTTAGCCTTGACTATGAAGTCATTTTCTATTTTTATAGCCTTATGATGTAGTTGAATTATTTAATACTTTTATGATGTGTTTAAATGGGGTTTTATCATGTTTATGGTTGCAAATTTATTGTTTTAGTATAATAAACTCCATTTAAAATTTGCCAATAAAAAAAATTTTTGTTTATTTTTAGCTATGATTATGATGTCATTTTCTATTTTACTTTTATGGTTGCAAAGAAATTTTTATTTTTAGATATTACTGTTAAATGATGCTGATTAAGGTTTTTGCTATGTTTAGCCATGACTATGATGTCATTTTCTATTTTAATATCTGTTATGATGTATTTAAATGGGCTTTTATGGTTACAAAGGAATTTTATTTTTAGATATTACTATAAAATGTTGCTGATGCTGATTAAGGATTTTGTTTATTTTTAGCCATGACTATGATGTCATTTTCTATTTTAATACCTTTATGATGTAATTTCCATTTTTAGATATTACTGTTAAATGATGCTGATTAAGGGTTTTTTGCTATGTTTAGCCATGACTATGATGTCATTTTCTATTTTAATATCTGTTATGATGTATTTAAATGGGCTTTTATGGTTACAAAGGAATTTTATTTTTAGATATTACTTTAAATGTTGCTGATTAAGGATTTTTGTTTATTTTTAGCCATGACTATGATGTCACTTTCTATTTTAATACCTTTATGATGTATTTAAATGGGCTCCCATGTATTTAGATTTTTGATTATTTATACATGTTACCAAATTGGTCCACATTGAACAAAAACGGTCCAAATTTCAACTTTATTACATTACATCAAACATTGAATTCTACATATTCTTTGATATATTGAAATTAACAAACAATTTAGTTTATGGATATTCCACCATAATAGGTAAATTAAATTTTTTCCAGTTCTTACACCACATTCATCCTGTGTCAGAAACCTATGCTGTGTCAAATATTTAATGACAATCCAAAGTCATAGCTGTATCAAGCTTGAATTTTGTGTCCATACTTGCCCCAACTGTTCAGGGTTCGACCTCTGCGGTCGTATCAAGCTGCGCCCCAGCGAAGCATTTTATTTATGTTGAAATGGTTATAACTTGAGAACAGTAAGTGCTATTGGATCTTCAGTAATGATCATTTGACTGTACGATCTACTTTAGGGTCATAGGTCAATAGTCGCCAATGACCTTAACTTTTGAACTTGAACATAATTTTTGAAAATTACACAAAAACTGAAAAGATAAGAATAATTGGAAGATTGGAAAATGTTCTACAAGACATCGACGACAAATCAAATGAGATAAAGGATGAGTCCAAAGGGGTTATTCCCATCCCCTGTCATTTGAGAATATTCAAATATCTGGAACGTGGTTGAGATCCCACAGCTAAATTGTATATTTTCATGTTTGTTGAATGAAGATCAAGTCCCAGGGGGGTCATCCCCATTCATTGATATTTGATAATGTTCAAATATCTTGAAAATGGTTGCAATTTGCACCCCTCAAACATATTTTTTTCCTATTTGTATTATCAAAATGAATTGAATGGTATATAGTTTTTGTGAAAAAACTGGTGAGATCTCCACGCCTACACAACATATTATCTTGTTTGACATGTCATGATGCTTTGAATAATATATAGGGTTAGTCCCCAGGAGTCAACCCGTAACCATCTGTCAATATTCAAATAGTAAGCAAATGGTTTAGATGTCCATCCCTTAACCATATATTGTCTTGTTTGTCATATCAAGATGAATTGAATGAAAGATACAATGTAAGGTAAGTCCCCACCCCTGCCATTTGAGAATATTGAAACATCTTTTAAATGGTTGAGATCCCACCCCTAAACTGTATCTTTTCTTGTTTGTTATATCAATATTAAATCCGAAGGAAGTGGGGGATCATCCCCATTCCCTGTTATTTAATTGTTTAAAATTTCTTGTAAATGGTTGAGATCCTCACACCTAAACCATATATTTTTGTCCGCCGTAACATTGCTGGGACATAGAAATAACGGGCGTCCGTCAGGTCTTGGAAGCGCTCTCACTTGTACAATTCTTGCCAGATTTTTATAAAACTTATACTTATAGGTTTATATCAATAATGTCTTGGATAATTTTGAAAATCAGTGCCAATATAATATTTTTAAAAGAGTTATGCCCTTGTAAGCACTGTCATGCGTGCAATTTTTGCCAGATTTTTATCAAAGGTTTATATAAGCAATATCTCGGACAAGTTTGAAAATCAGTGCCGATCAACTATTTTTGGAAGAGTTATGCCCCTTGGAAATATTTAATTATATGGAAAGTTGCATTGTTAGCCCTCTCATGTGTACAATTTTTGCCAAATTTTTATCAAATTTATATCAAAGGTTTATATCAGCAGCGTCTCGGAAAAATTCGAAAATCAGTGCCGATCTAATATTTTTAAAAGAGTTATGTCCTTGGAAATATTAATTATATGGAAAATTGCATTGTAAGTGCTCTCATGTGTACAACTTTAACCAGATTTTTATGAAAAGTTTTTAGAAGCAATATCTCGTACAAGTTCCAAAATCAGTGCCGATCAAATATTTTAATGCCCCACCTAGGGGCATTATGTTTCTCGGTCTGTGCATTCATTTGTCCGTTCTTCCGTCCATCTGTCCCGCTTCAGGTTAAAGTTTTTGGTCAAGGTTGTTTTTGATGAAGTTGAAGTCCAATCAACTTGAAACTTAGTACACATGTTCCTTATGATATGATCTTTCTAATTTTAATGGCAAATTAGAGTTTTGATCCCAATTTCACGGTACACTGAACATAGAAAATGATAGTGCGAGTGGGGCATCTGTGTACTATGGACACATTCTTGTTAAAGGTGTTATGTCCCTTGGAAATATTAATTATATTGGAAATTTCTTTGTATTAGCTCTCAAGCCTTCATTTCTCTAAAATATTTGTAAAAAGTTTTAAAGAACAAAAAAAAAAGTTTGTTTTAGTTATTGCCTTGGATAGATCAAATCTGTTCTTTTATCTTATTTGCCATATCAAGATGAATTGAATGGTATTTAGTGAGAGTCCCAAGGGATCATCCAAACACCTGCTATTGGATAATGTTTTCAAATATTTTAAAATCGGTTGAGATCCCTATCCCTAAGCCATATATTTTTTGTTTGACATGTCAAGATAGATTAAATGATTTAGAGAAAATCTGGCATCTAAAGGCAGAA